AAATTTTCGATTTTTCGATTTTCCTTTGATCGTTTTGAAGTTTGAAATCGTCCATCATTTTCTAGTAAATTTAATTTTAAGTTTATCTTAATTACTTTTGTTTTTTTACGTTTTTTTTTTTTTTGTTATATTTCGACATTTGAATATTTTTGCTTGTGGTCTGAAAAAAAATTCTTTTTAATTTTTCACTTTCAATCTTTGAAATTGTTCACGTTTTTGGATTATCTTATAAAATTCAAATTTATAATTTTCAAGATTTTGAAATACTTATTTTATTGTCTAATTTATTACAATGTTTTAAATGCTTTTACTTATTTTTCGTTACTTTTGTTTCTTGCATGCATTTTTGATTACTTTTACTTTTCCGCATGTCTTTATTTACTTTGCTTATTTCAATGACAGTAACATTTGTTTATTGTTGATGGATACCTTTTTTGTAGTTTTTATTAATTGTATATATTATTGTCAGTTTTATTTGTTATTATTTATCATTTATTATTATTTAAATTAATTTCATTTATCATTTGTTATTATTATTATTATTATTCGATAATTATTATTTAATAATCCCATTTTGATTAATCGTATTTATTACATGATCTTTTCGAACATCTCCTACTCTCTGCAATGCTTTTTTCTTCCTTTCCTTATTGCACGCCTTTTTGGTAATTTTATTTATTCCATGCTTTTCTTGCTGACATTTACCTATTCTGCAACTTACCTTACCAATTTCATTTTATTTCGCAAGGTGTTTTTCATGCTTTTGTTTATTGCATGCATTTGTTAATCTAATTTGTAAATAACTTTGTTAATTACTTGCAGTTATTTTCTAATTTATTTTCTGCTTGCGGTTTAAGATTATTTCTACTCGCTGCATGATTTTAGTTAATTTTCCTTGCTTTATCTTCTATTTTTTTTTTAAAATGCCATCCGAATTATAAGCCAAATTTTTGAATCAAATCTGCCGAATGCTCTCTTTCCATAAATTCACATCCTTTTTCAACTTTTAAATTCAAGGTTATTTTGGCAACAAATCACTGGAAATTCGGTGATATTGATGGAGTATGTTACGTTCTGGATCAATCCTGGATTTAATGAGCCGAATTCTTTCTATGACAGCAGTATGTCGAACATTTGCACGTTGTTACCAATGCAAAGATTTGTTAAGTTTTAGATTCACTTGCTCATTTATACCACTTTAAAGGACTTATCGTAAAAAAACTATTTTGTAAAAAAAAAAATAGTTTCAGATTGCGCTAATCAGCATGCTGGAAGGAAGGGCTGGTCGAACTGATCCCCGTTTCTGTACAGCTTGGGCTTACAAAAAATGATTTGAGAGATCAGCCCATTCCGGAAACAATTCAATTTTCAGTTTTTTTCCTCATTTCATTGCTTTTAGTCAAAGAATTTAAGAAAAAAAATTTGTTTTAAGGATTTGTTAAAGTTGAAGAGCAAGTGATAGAATTTAAAATGTAAGATGACGACGCTATGATAATAATATAATGTACCGTAAAATAATATAATATTCGAGATACCGTAAAATCCATTTTTTTTTCGGATATGCGATATCGGGTATTTTCAGTGAAGTTATAAGCTCAACTTAAAAAAGTTAACTCATATGCAAAGGCATTTTTTGATGGATACTTTAATTAGATTCTAAATCTTAAGATTTCAAACAACAATTCTCTAACAACTGGAAAAACAATCATTGGAGAATATTTTCACAATTGCATCAAATTCGATAGCAACGAGGTTTATGGAAATGTTCATCCAGATTCCTCTTTATTCGAAGAAATTCTACAATGGATGATTTCGAGCATATCTTCACAATCTAAAGAGTTCATACGTGAGGTAAGCCTTCAAGTTTCTTTTGCCTTCAGATAGTTTATTGATGTTTGAAATCAAGATTTACGATTACAGATTTTTGTTCCATTTCATTGTTAATAAAACTAATGGTCGGATCCATATAAAAAAAGAAAAAAAAGTATAGTTTTAAATACATTTTCTGTCCTCAAATGGTTTAGTATGAATGAAATTCTTTAAAAATGGTTGAATTTTATGGTCACCAAATTCAGAAGCATTGATCAAAGAAACTATATCACATTATTACAGAATGAAGGAATTGGAAAAATCGATTAAGCGAAACTTCTATTTCACTTCTTGTAATTCTTCTCTTCATTAAGTCGAAAGTTATTCATTTAAATAATCGGTTAACTCTTACTTTATTACGTAAATACTCATAATTTGTAGACATTCAAAAATACTGTTTGTTGAATATGCAAATCATTGCATTACGGTATTGTGGTATAAAGTTAACAGTTTAGCAATCACAATTCATTCTTTTCATATAACAATCAAGAAAAGGTCGCTTTGAATTGTAGACCATATGCAATTTTACGGTGGACAAAGGTTAATAGTTCTGTGATCGTATCATATTTTATTTGAATTTGACAACGGTGGGTTGGCAATGAAGAAGTTTCGGTTGCAACATATTTAAAATACATTAAATGGTAAAGCATTTTTTTGTCATCTTAGCAAACCTGAAATAGCATCCATCCTTCGACCTGTCACTATATTTCAAGTTTTTTGAATTCCCTTCAAGTAATAAATAATTAATTCTTGCCGAAAATTTAATTATATATTTATGCAACTAACAAAAAACTTACTAATACTAGTAGAAAAAATGTATGAATTTTCTTTTTTCATCAATCAAAAAAAAATTTTCAATAAAAATAATATTTGTTTGAAAAAATTGTTAAAAGAATTAATTATTCCAAAAATTAGTCGAATTTACATTAATCATTTTTTCGATTTCAGCCAACTTCAACCTTAATCAAGAATATATAATTTTTGCAATAATATTGTATTTTTAGGAGATATAAGTTAACAAGTCTGACTGGATTATATTTAGCTTATGCAATTTCATGCATTGTTAGTTTCAAAACTTGCTCAAGAAAAAGAAGAAAAAAATTTCGAAAAAAATTTATTTGTTAAAATGTATCAAATCTTTTAATTCGTAAAAACTATCCCATTTGTACTTTTTAGCCTTTAAAAAAGCTTACTTGACAAAAACATTATTTGCAAAAAACAAATGTCAATATAAGAAATTTCAAATGATAAATCGGGAAGATTTAAAAAAAAAATAAGTGAAAAACGGTCAAAATTTTCTTCATAGGGTGATCGATTATGGAATTTTGCGCTTATATTAATATTAGAATATATTGGTGGTATTCGATTGGTATGTTTTAGTCAATTACTCGAAGAAATAATTATTATGACATTTGGTTCAGTAATCGGAAATTGGATGGATCATCATACTAGAAAACGCGGTAAATTAAAATTTCTAACTTTTGCTATTTTCTAATATTTCGTAACAAATTAATGAAATTTTCACGAAAAAGAAAATTCTAATTCATTTACAAAAATAATCTTATCGAATGACTGTTTTGATATTGCACGTTTATCAACTAATTAATATTGTTATTACTAACTTATAATAACGAATACTATTGAAATATAATGGGCTAATTTTTAGGTATAATAACAGTATTAATTATAAATAATGCTAATGTAGCAATATCAGCAACATTACTTGCTGCATGTATTACAATTAGCGGAATGAGTAATAATTATGATGTATGTGTTTATTTGATATCATTCATGAATTTGCCATCACTACAACTATCTTCATAATTATTCCTTTTGTTATCATCGTTATCATTTGTTATCAGTTCATCAACCTTATTATGATAGCTTGTTTACAAAGTTGCTATTATTATAACTTATTTCATATTATCATTGTTAAATCGTATTTATTCCTTTATAATTAAATTAAGTTGAGTTTAAATGTTTAAATTGACATATTTAGGTTTATATTTAGTAAATACTTTTTCATTCCATACATTTAATACTTATTATATTTATGTTAATTGAACTAATTCTTGAGAATGTTAACAAAAAATTTAATTTTAAAAAGGGAAAATTTTCAGTCATACCCTTTGTTTTGGCATATTCTCTATATTATTTGTATTGTTTTATCGATAATTACTTGTTCGCTTGGTTGTTTAGCAAGTGAAATAGAAAAGATGGCATTTACCAAAGATTGGATTGTTGTAATAACTAAAAAAGATCAATTATCACTATCTGGTATAGTTTTATCAATCATTAAACATAACTTAGTTACTATCAAATTTTAAAACATGCAAAAAAAATTAGGATAAGAAAGGTTGATAAATTTAAGAAGTAAGTAAACATTTCAATAAAAAAAAAAGCGGAAAGGAAACAAATAAAAAATAAACAAACATATGACGGCAATTATAACAGCTTTTATCAACATATCTAATTAGGTTTTGCTCCTTTATTTTTTTTTTTGTTTCTAGCTGCAAATGCATGGATGAAAACGATCGATTTGTCATCATCCATAGTGTCACCCTTTACAGCTGGTTACATTATCAACACAATTAGTTACCGCTTTGCATGTGGGATATTTGTAGGATGGAATTTGTTATCGGTATTTGTGGAGGCTTATATTATCATCAAAGTTTACAATACTGTACCAGAACTTACTACAAGAGAATCATTATCCACTCCTGGTAAATTCATTTATTAATAATTATTATTGGAGATAAATTTTGATTTGGAAAAAAAAATGGTAAAAATTGGAATTATTAGACAATATTGCATACTGATATATGATTTGAAAAAGTTAAATCAAATTTAGGATTAAATTGTTTAATGAAACTTGATGTTAATTTGAAGATGTTAGCGAGAAGTAAAAAAGATAGACTTGATGAACCTTAATTTGAGGTGAACTGATTGACTCCGACGTTTTATTTTGTCTTCAATATGTAACCTTTGGATCTGGACTAAGACATGTTACCACTATGTCATGACATCCGAATATTCACACTTATAAACAATAGGATCTATATTAAAGCTTTCAAAATGAAAATTATTTGTAGTGGGAAGAAATTGAAGTTGTTTTTGTGAAAATTGAATTTTCTCGAAGATATCCTTTATTGTTTTTGATTGGTACTAAAGAATAGTTTCATAAAAAGCTTTTTAGTTTAGGAATATTTATTATTCTTTCAGTTAATAAAACAGATATCAATTAAAAATAACACAGGTAGGGGTCAATCATATGACCCATTTATAGATTCTTTTTGTCACACAGTTATTGATGGAACTATAAGCTTGTTTAGAAAAAAAAATTAGAAATTAATGATCAAATGGCATAAATAATTTCCTTCTTTTTTTTCCTTCAGTACAACGAATTTTTCACTTTTTAAATAATTTCTAAACTTTCAATTTCTAAAATATTAAAATATTCTTTTTTAATTTTTTTCAAAATATAATATTTCCTAATTTTCTCCTTTTCATAATTTTAATAGTTAATAAAAAAATTTTGCTAATCAATTAATCGAACAGTAATTTTTTTTTTTAAATGATAAAAATAACATTTGCTTAATGTTTAAATTAATATTTGAAATAATTTGAAAAAATTTAAAAACTTTCAGATGAACAAACAAAAATTAAATGTTGTAAAAAGTGTCCATGTTTCATACAATATACAATTGGCAAATGGTTTACATTATTTTACATTTATTATCAACAAAATGTTTTTCTGGCCGCATTTGGCTTAACCTTACTATATATGACTGTGCTTGGATTTGATGGCGTACTCTTGTTTTTTTTTTTTAAAGAAATTTTAAAAATATACATTTTTAATTGTACTTTCCACCGAAGGATTTATTTTAATGCATTTTTTAAAATTTACTTTGAGATTATAAAATGGAATAGCATAAAATGAAATAGCATTTTTAAAATTTATTTTGAGATTATAAAATGAAATAACATTAATAGTACCCATGTATTTTATATTTCGAATTTCTTTTTTTTTTTTAGTACTCTATTTTAAACATTTTTTTTTTCAGATAGCTATTGGTTATGCAAAATCACAAGGTTTATCAGCGTTATGGTTAGGCATTTTGCGAAGTACTGGTGCTGCTTTTGGTATTATTGGTGCATATTTGTATTCTCTTATCGAAATTCATTCTTCGGCAAGAAAATCCGGATTGATTGGTCTGATTGTATGTTTTTAGAGAGAGTTTTATTCCGGTTATATTAAGCGTACGAAAACTATGGAAATTTTATTAAATCAGAATTACGATAACAAATGAACGAAATTTTTGGGAATTTTATCCCGACTATGTTTAGTGTATAGAATTTTTAAGAGGTTTTTAATACGTAGAATACTCTTTATTAAATCATTCCTTTTAAATTATTTTGTAAATAATTAACCTCAGAAATTACACTAAAATGCATTAATATCAAATTACTGATAAAAGTGTTCGGCAAAAAGGAAAAATAAAAATGAAAAATTAAATTCAAGTCAGTCCAGAATTTTATCAGAAAAAAAAATTTAAAGCAAATTAAAACTTTTTATATAACTATTAGAGTAAAATTTTTATCCGATTTTATTGTTTTAATATAATATTAAGGCACAACATTTGGCTCTATATATTTGTATTGTATCTATTTGGTTACCTGGCTCACCATTTGATCCACTTACATATTTTAGAGAAATTACTTTTGCTGTATGTTTGCTTAATCGATTATAATAATTAAATTTAAAAGAATCTACAACTACAATTTTTCTTACTTCTTTTTTTCCTCCTATTTATCCATTATAAATCCAATCTTTTTTTTCCTTGCAGATAAAAGAACTTTTTAAATTTTGTCTCTATTTCTTATGTAAAAAAAGACAGTAGTAATTGAATTATTTATGTTGTTCAACGAAGATTTCAGATTTAAACGTTAGAAATTTATTTCCGCCAAAATCAAACTTTTAAAATTTGCTTTTGTTACAAAATTGAATTTTTGTAGATTTGGTGGCAACAATTAAAAGATAGTTTTACATTTATCACCAATAAAAATCAAAGTGAAACGGGCTCAAATAACATTGACTGGTCAACATGGACATCAAATGGACATTCCATCATTAGCGTTTTCACATTGCTTGTAGGTATAGCAACAGCAAGATTAGGTAATATGCAAAGATAAAAATGAATTTAATTGAATGAGTCATTCATTAAGCTTGACTGTAATTAATATAAGCTTATCCCTATCAACAAGTTCTTAGACCAACGAACGATAATTAAAATAAATAGCGTTTGATTTACTAATACAATGAGCTTTTTCTTTTTTCTTTTGAGTAAATAATATTTAACTTTTCCGTTTCGTCCATCATTAAATAATAGATGCAATTGATTGCCTATACAGTTTAAAATTTTAATTTCAAAACTATTTAGTCGTAAACATGAAGGCAACAGGAAAGAATAAGTACAATTAATTTTTAGGCTTATATATGGCAGATTTGTCAATCTCACAGATTATGCAAGATACAGTACCGGAAAGGGAACGTAATACTGTCTTCGGTGTACAAGATTCGATAGCACATTTCTTCAGTGTACTCAAAGTAATCTTCTTTGCTTTTTTGTTCACAATATATCGAATATTACTTGAACTTTTAAATCACTCAAAGCGAATATTATTTGAACTTTCAAATGATGATTAAAGTGATGGAAATTAAAATGAATAAAATGTGTGATGATTAAAATCATTTGGAACTTTAGAATTGCTTCATTTATAACTGTAACAATCATAACAGAGTATTCTAAAAAGGGGTAATTAATTATAAATGCAACTTGCGGAAGATAACTGATAGGATGTACTTAAACATTATATGATTTCAATATCTTTTTCTCCTTTCTATAAAAATGGAAATTTTCTATTTCAATATCATAACTGATGCACACATATTTGTGGAATTTGTTCATTCTTTATTTAGGATGTAATGACCATAATAGTACCGGATCCAAAAACATTTGGCATACTTATCATTATATCCGTATTATTTGTATTCAGTGGATTCCTAAGCTTTTGCTGCTACTTACTTACAGTAAATTCTGATCTAAAATTTGGAACAATAGAAAAACTATCACAGCTAAAATGACGAACATGAAGATAAATGAAGACTTTTTCATTTCAATATTAATTGTACTAAAATTAAAAAAATTGAAAACCTTTTCTCTTTTCTAAAATGATTTGTACAAGAGCAAAAGAAAATGTACTTTTATGTATGCTTTGCTATTTATAAACTCTTCCAGGAAGGAAAGTAAAAGCAATTATATTTGTCATTATTATTTAAACAATTTCAGGTTACTGATTATAATAAAGAAAAAACCAAACTAGCCAACAATGACACAGAAGAAAGTCACATTAAAAAAATCCAAAAAATATTTTGGTGAAAACGAACGAGACCATCAAAGAAAATATTCCTGGTTAATTGGATACTGCAAAAACAACATCCGGCGCAGACAGGAAAAAATTCTCCAACTGGCTCATAGCTAACAAATTATTATTTGTAATATAGGTATTAAGTTCAACAATAGAGAGCATCAGAAATGAAAATCCCAGAGGTAAAGCATACAAAAACTTGATAACTGGTTTTCGTACAGAAAGTAGTCTTAACCAGATGGGTCTTTTTGTAAATAAAAAAAAAGAAAATGCCTCCTTATAGTAGTACTAGTAATAAGATTTATAATTTCTCTTATACTTTATTTTTTGCTTATTACTAAAACTACGATGTTAAGTAATAATAACTTCATTTCTTGGATATTATACCAGAACAAATATGCAAATTACTACCAAAAGATTGAAATTATTACCAAATACGAAGTGTTAGCAACAGTATACTGTCAGAAACTATCAACACTCTCAATTTCACATGCTTACTTCAACGTAATAGAAATAATATTTATTTCCTGCTTTGGTCGGCCACTTTTTTCAAACGTCGGTACCTGATTAATCTTTTGCACCACACTGAAGCCTTCTATTACCTGGAAATCAAAAAGTAATGGCCCAAATTAATAATATTTTAAATAGATGAACAAGTAGTTCGAAATATCCTTAAAAATACATACGAAAGATATTGACTACTTGCAGAGAAATTTTTTTGAACAATTTTTGCAAGTTAATGTTATGATTTCATGAACTGCGATTTTCATAAACTGGCATTTTTATGTTGACGACAATCGTTATCAAAATGATATTATTTAATAACAAAAATGTCGTAAAAAAACCACAGCATTCATATCAACAACCTAACTCTTCGTGTCTTCAGAATTACTTGAGGAAAATGAAACATTTTGGAATTTTGAAGATTTTCATGCCTCCCTAAAATTGAAAGTAAAGATAAACCTGTCCAAAGAGAGTATTTTTGCCATCTAACCAATCGGCAGGAATAACTGTTATGAAAAACTGAGAACCATTGGTATTCGGACCTGCATTTGCCATTGAAACCATGTAAGGTTTATCGTGTCTAAGTTTGGGATGGAATTCATCCTCAAAATCTTCACCCCAAATAGACTGACCACCAGTTCCTTTACCGGTGGGATCGCCAGTCTAAAAATATCTTTAGCAAGGAAAGTTTAACACTAGACCAACAAAAATGAGGGGAAAAAGTAAAAAATGAAGCGGCCATATAGCACTGAAGTGTACTATTTCTCGCCATACTCCAAAGAAAAATTCCAAAGAAAAACACTTTAAAAGGGCTCAACAATTCAAGCTGTGAATATCCCTCCTTCACAAGCTGACACCAATAACAACAACCAAAAGATTCCTTTGAACTTCTCCAATTAATTTCATTACTCAAAACAAAAAGTGATATTGAATGCTCTCTAATCGGAATTAGATGAAGTCGAAAAAAAAAATCCAAAAACTACCTGAATCATGAAGCTTTTTATTACACGATGGAATGTGTGACCATTGTAGTAACCCCGCCTTGCATGTGTACAAAAATTTTCCACAGTTTTTGGACATTCATTGGGAAATAACTTTATGTGTATGTCACCGAGTGAGGTATGTATTACTGCATGTTCTGTTACTTTACTATCAACTGTATCACTCTAAAAATTGGGAATTAAAAAGATTCTGCCTGAAAATAAACATCTGAAGACATGAACAAATAAACGAATTAAAGCTTTGAAAAATAAACGGATCAAAACCCAATTAACAATTATACCTCTACAGCTGTTATAATATCCTCTTTCCTGGGTTTTTCATTGAACACATCTCGTCCCATACCAGTACCATCTACATCATCACTTTCATCCGTTGAAAAAGGTTCTGCATTAGTGAACAAATAAAATCTGCCTTTCCGATATGCACAAGCAACCTAAACAAAGAATTCAAATAAAGTATGCAGTACATAAGATACGATACCACAAAGAAAGTGAAGCCATACCAACATGGGATCAGGCTCTGTTTTCTTCAGATTTGGATTTGCCGCGGCCAATGCATCAATTGTTGCTGCTGCTCCCTACAGAGAAGCAAAATGAAAAAGCGCTAAAAAATCCAAAACATTTTATGAACAATAGTATACCATTTGTGCAACTTTTTCTAAATTAATATAAAATGCAATAGTTAAAAAAGACTGTTTCAATTATTTAAGTTCATCTATGATAGAAATTTCAATTGATAATGATTAAACCACAAACTAAAATGGTTGGTTGAATAAGAAAGAAGTTAACAAACCTGTAACTGTTCCTTGAAGTCTGGTACAGCGCGGCAAAGTGAGACACCCAAGAATCGCATATTCTCATTTTGCC